GAGTTTGTCCTTTTAAACAGTCCTCCCAGCTGCAGCACGTGAAGGGGATCAAGGCCCTTTCCTCCCCCATAGACCACCCCATTTACGTTTCTCCCTTATCCTCTCCTCCCTGTGTGCCCTAGGATGGAGAGGGGATGGGCCTGGCTCTTCCTCTGACTGCCCAACTGGCCTGTGCCCTTCCCCAGTTTTGTCCACAACCTCTGGAGCCACACTTCCACTCCTTGTCACAGGGGCATGACAATTAGTTTCCATCTGTTGCTTCTTGTACTGCCTTCAGGTGTGTCCCTCTTTGTGGCAAATCCATTCCTTCAGCACCGTCATAACTTTGGATGGCTGCTGAAGAGGGCCACATTAAACACTGCAACCGTCATAAAGATGAACCAATTGCCAAGAGTTCTGGATTTTGATCCCGTGACTATGAGGAATGCCGCAACGGTCGGTTAAGTGTGAAAAAAAACAACACATCACTTTTTCCAGTGCCGCGGTTAACTCTGAATGTGGAGAACTACAGTACTTGCAACTTTCCCTGTTCATGAATCCAATTTTTTTATGAAACGAAAAGGAAAGACCGCTCTCCAGAGCCAGCCAGGGACCAGAAGAGGTGGATATGGTGATGGTTGAGGTCATTCATCTTGAAGGCCCCTCTTGACAAAGCCAATGAAAGATGTAAGGGAAGCGGCAGCCCCGTTGTGCTCCAAATTAAACCCCAGTTCTCAGATGCTTCTTTTTTTTTGTTTTCCTTGTGTGGGATGTTAGCACCCACCCCTCTCCTAGAAAAAAATGAAATATCCTAGGAAATATTAAAAAGGCAGAATATTTCCCCTAAAAAGAAAAGTAGAGGCAGAAACTCAGCACCCCTCCACACCTTTGCTAATGGACTCTGACCTAGGCTAGTCTATTTTACATAACAAAGATCTACTCCAGGTAAAGCCATAGTAGGAATTGCCTAAACACCCTTTCATGACATCATCATCCAGCAAGGCTCAACCAAGCCTGGGACTCAGGACAGCCTACAGAGTTGACCCTGCATGGCCCCATGGGAGTCTGACAACCAATCAGAACGCAAGCCCAAAATTCAAATCCCAACAGAGGGTATAAAACCCAGGGGCTCTCAGCATCTCTGCCCTTCTTTCTTTTTTCACCCAAGGCATGTGATCCTGTCCACCATTAAACCATCTTTCCAAGCAGTCACCGTGTTTTCAATGTCTTCCTTCCCCACTTGGAACTGAACCAAGAAGGATAATTCTTCCAACACTTGCAAAGTGATCGAAAGTGGCTCCTTCAGACTTAAGCCCTGTGTGACTAAGGACCATGCCAAATCCCCAAACGGGCCCCCCCCCTGCATCATTCACAGCCCCCCCAAAAAAGCAACCAGGCTCGAAACTCAAAAAGCTTTTATTTGCGTTGTTTCCTCATGTCGAGTATAAATCATATATTGAAAGAGCAATTTGGGTTTGCTTGTTTGTTTTAAAAAAAACCTTTCTTTCCCCCTTACCATCAAAGAGGTAGATTTATTTTTAATCGGTGTTTTTGCACTGGAAATGGGATGCCTCATTATGCTGTTGACGTGCGATTAGAGAGGGCAGTGGCTATTTTTTTAATCACCAGTCTTTTCCCTGTATTTTCTAGCAATCAAATAAAAAGCAACTAACTATGAATTTTTTCCCCCCGAGGTTTTACCTCTCCCGTTGCCCTCCAGGGAACGGCGGAATTGTCTGAAATGCAAGAGAGACAGAGAGAAAGACAGATATAGAGATTGAGATAGATAGATAGATAATAGATAGATAGATAATAGTTGATGAAAGATATAGACAGATAAGATAGATAGATAGATAGATAGATAGATAGATAGATAGATAGATGATAGATAGATGATAGATAGATGATATAGATAGATAGATAGATAGATAGATAGATAGATAGATAGATAGATAGATAAAGATAGATAAAGATAGATGTAGGTAGGTAGACAGACAGACGGACAGATGTGTGTATTTGTGTGTTGTATATATCTATACAGATATGTATATTTATTTATTTACTTTATTTATTTACTGAATTTATATTACTGCCTATTCGCTCATGGCTACTCAAGGCAGCTTACACAATGTAAAACCATATTTAACATAAAAAATATGACATATATGTGTGTATCTATGTGCATAATATGTATTTGTATGTATATGTGTGTCTGTGTGTGTGTGCATGTATGTATATATGGATGTATATGTATGTAAGGATTCTCACTTCAGTCACACTGGGGTGGGAAAAAAAATCAAATAAGCTTTATTTACTAAATTTATATTAAGTATAATTGCATTTAAATTAAATATACATTTGTATTTAAATTTATTCAAAGTGTGTAACATTAGCCTCATGAGCCACAGTTCTCCAGGGCTGAACTACTAATAATGATGGAAAAATAATTCTGCCACTAATTTAACTAGAAGCAACATTGGCCAGGCTTTGTTTACCAATGCCTTTGGGGGGGGGGGGAAATATGGTGCTAAAAGTTATGTGCAAACATTGGAAACTGCAGTTATAGAGAGAGCTTACATGGGGGGGCAGAAAGGAGACCCCCTTTTCAGGTCCCGTGTCAGGGGGGAAAAAACATCTGTTGAAGAAGGGAAATTGTTTTTTCAAACTTTGTTCTGTAAAGGTTTGGGAGGTTTCAATTCAGACACAACAACACACAATCAATCACGAGAGATTTGCCTCTAGATCAGAAATTCAAGGATACTTTAAAAAAAAAAAAAACTAACAGTTTCATCGGCCTGAAAAAGTTTGAAATGCATTTGTAATAAATTTGGGGGAGGACATTCAGGTCTCAAGGGATCTCTACATCAAACGGGCATTCCCTGATTTAACCGCCGAGATACAGCCTGAACGTTTCCGTTGCTAAGTGAGGTATCGGTTAAGTGAGTTTCGCCCCATTTTACGACCTTTCTTGCCAAAGTTGTTAAGTGAGTTGCTGCAGTTGTTGTATTGGTCACGCGGCTGTTAAGTGAATCGGGCTTCCCCGTTGACTTTGCTTGTCCAAAGGTCGCAAAAAGGGATCACGAAACCTGGGATGCTGCAACCGTCATAAATATGAACCAATTGCCAAGCATCTGAATTTTGATCACGTGACCATGGGGGTGCTGCAATGGTCAAAGTGTGAAAAACGGTCCTAAGTGTGCATCTGATGATTCTTGACTCTTGACCAATGTATCTTTTATGTACACTGAGAGCATTTGCACCAGGACAAATTCCTTGTGTGTCTAATCACACTTGGCCAATAAAGAATTCTATTCTGTTGTTCTGTTCTGTTCTATTCTATTCTATTCTATTCTATTCTATTCTATTCTATTCTATTCTTCTATTCTATTCTATTCTATTCTATATTCTATATTCTATATTCTATATTCTATATTCTATTCCCTATTCTATTCCTTATTCTGTTCTATTCTATATTCTGTTCTATTCTATATATATTCTATTCTACTCCTTTTCTATTCCATTCTCTTCTCTCTTCTCTTCTCTTCTCTTCTCTTCTATTCCATTCTCTCTTCTCTCTTCTCTTCTATGTCACTTTTTTCAGTGCCATTGTAACTTGAGTCACTAAGCAAATTGTTGTAAGTCGAGAACTACCTGTTATCTACATCTCTCTTGGCTACGACTGACAACCTGAAGCTTAAAAACCACATCCGGCCCATCCCAAAGCCTTAACTCTCCAGAACTGGATGCTAAACCGTATTGTTAAAAGTATAGCAGAGGTCGGCTGCGTTCATTCAATGAAAATAAATTGCGGTATTGCACACTGAAAATTAAAACAGATTTAACTGGCTCTGCCTAATTCCTTGACCTTCAGTCCATTGTCTCCACCATCTGTCTGAAGCTTAACCCAGAATTTGGGGAGGCCAGTTGCAAAACTTAAATCTAATCCAAGTTGGTTAACGTTAGCTTTTTCTGGAGGAAGGCAAAAATCCATTTACCCCGGATTAAGTGAAGAATTAGTTACTCAGACCATCTGTCACGCCCTGTTGGAATCTGATTCCAAGGGGGAGGTTGAGCAGCTGACAGGGAGTGGGAGTATGGCCCCGTTGGCTGTGGAGGAAACTGGGGAAGGGCAAAGCCCAGCTGGGCAGAGCAGGAGGGAGGTAGAACAAGGGAGAGGGGGTTCAGAGGAAGACCCAGACCCACCCGCTCTTCATCCTAGGGCACGCAGGGAGGAATGGAGAAGGAAACAACGTGGTTTGCATGGCTTACAGGGGAGGAAAGGGCCCTGATTCCCTTCATTAGCTGCAGCTAGGAACAGTGTTTAAAAAGGCAAGCTGCAGCAAAGTTGCTGGAATCAAACTGTGAGTTATCTTTGTTTGTCGAGGCTTATCTGGGTTCCTGGTGTCTTCCCAACTGTGTGTGTTTTGTTGGCCTTTGAAGTCTGCAATTCCTTATCCTGCCCTGTCCAGTTAATTGCTCCAGCGTGGTTTGTGTGGATTTTTAGTTACAGTTTGTTTACTTAAGTTTTCGCGGGTACTTACATGTATGGTATTCAGCTTTGTTCGGGTATTTTCCCACCTCATTATAGTTGTGCTTTTAAAGACGAACACAATACAAGACAAACACAATACAGAAGCCTGATGATGGCAGATGAGATTCTGCCGAAACGTTGCTACAACTTTAAAAGCACAACTATAATGACGTGGGAAAATACCCGAACAAAGCTGAATACCATTAGTTAACAGTTTGTATGTACTTTGTTTTCGGACTGAATTTCCTCCACTTAAAGACTGTTCTTGGGAGCGTATTTTCTCCAGCTGAAGGTAACCTGGACATCGGGAGCAAAGTTGGAGGTATTAAAGGGACTTTTCTTACTTATGTGACTGTGTTGCCATGATGCCACGCCCCGAGTCATCACACCATCTGTGTGACTGAATGTAGCTGTGGACATTAAATTCCTGCCTGGGCGTTAAAGGAGAAGATGGGATTTGGAGAGACGGCTGAAAATAACTTTTTTTTTTCCTCACGGCAATCGTATCTCAAGTTTTTAGAAACTTAGCCCCCCCCCCCCACACCCACACCCCCCCCCACAGATACAAATGCCAAGGAGCTGAGGAATTCTGAGAGAATCTTTTTTTTTTCCTCATTATTGGTTCTGCTGCTTTTTCCTCTTGACCACGGCCGCGCCGACACCAACAAACAAGCCAGCCAGGCCCGCAATGGTCGCCCCCACAAAGAAATCTCGGACCTGCAAAGGTGGAAAGAAAGACGATGGGTAAAGATTTGGCTCAGAACCAGAGCATAGAGCCAGGAGGGACCTTGGAGATCTTCTAGTCCACCCCTCTGCTCAAGCAAGAGACCCTATACCTGTCAACTCATAAAATATTTTGGTCTTTTTTAGAGTTGCCAACAGAAAGGGAAGCGGGAAGCAGTGCGGCAGCTTGCAAAACCGAAAGCGCATTCCATCAATGTTTTCAAAGATAGTAACTAGGTGACCGAAGTTTCTGCCGCGCAAAATTCTAACTGGAGAGCATGATGGATGACTCTGGGCTATGGAGGTGTCCCATTGGAGGATATGAATTACGATACACCAAGGTAGCACCAGCATGTTTACTCCTAATAAATCTTCTTTTAAGCTTTGAAAAATCTGGCTAGAGACTATGATTTAAATGGGGATAACTACCGGAGCCCTGACAATACCATTTCAGATAGGTGGATGTCCAGTCTTTTTAAAAATCTCCAGTGATGGATCACCCACAACTTCTGGTAGCCAGCTGTTCCACTGGTTAATTGTCCTCCCTGTGAGGAGGTTTCTCCTTAGTTCCAGGGTTGCTCCTCTCCTTGATTAGTTTCCATCCATTGCTTCTTGTTTTGCCTTCTGGTGCTTTGGAAAATAGCTTGACCCCCTCCTCTTTGTGGCAGCACCTCAAAAATTGGGACACTGCTGTCATCCCCCCCCCCCCCCCCCGCAGTCCTTCTTTTCTCTAGATTAGCCAAACCCAAATCCTGCAACTGTTCTTCCTATGTTTTAATCTCCAGGTCTTTAATCATCTTAGTTGGTCTTCTTTGAAAAATAATAATAATTATGTATATGGTTTTCATCAATTCCCACCCCACCTTCCATGTTCCTGATGTGCTAATATGGCAGCTGCCAGAAGCGATTGGCAACTTGTCAATCATCCCGAGAGGAAGGGAAAAGAGATGGAATTTGGGGGGGGGGTCTGCTTTGTAGGGGTCTGGGGTGTTGCAGACATTGCTTTGTTCCCCAAAAGAGGATCCTCCTCTTACAAGGAACGCTCACAATTACAACCCCAACTGAACTGAAAATTTCCACCGCTAAGGAAAACGGTTGTTAATTGAGTTTTAGTACAGAGAGTCCGTCATAAATATGAATCAGGTGCCAAGCATCTGAATTTTGATCACGTGGCCAGGGGGATGCTGTGACGGTTGTTAAGTGTGAAAAACGGTCCTAACTCGCTCTTTTCAGGGCCACTGTACCTTTGAACTGTCACTAAATGAGTGGCTGCAAGGACTACATGTATAGTCGAGGCTTTATATGGCAAACTCAGGAGAGTTAAAAGGAGGCATTTACACACAAGCATTCTTCCAAGGCTTGCAAACCTGCAAAAAACAACAACAAAAGACCCCCCAATTTTGTCCAGAAAAGTTTGAAAGGAACCCCTTACTTGATCGCTCCTGGCCACGCCATAGCGCAGTTCGGTGACGAAGTGCTCACAATTCTCGCTGGTGATTTTATACTCCAGTTCTTGGCCCACCTTCTCTTCAGCCAGCTGGATAATCTTGTTAACGGGCAGTGGGGTGTATTTGGCATCGTGTTTGTTGTTGACCCGGTATCGGTCATGGCCCACCACTTCCAAGAGCCGCTCCTTCTTCACCAAGGCCTTGTTGGTGAGGGTGGACATGAGGCTGGCGCAACCAGCTCCCGCAAGTTCGCCTTGAAGGTAGGAAAGAGTCATTCATATGGAGAGCCGATAGGGTCTAGGGCAGACTTGTGGACTTCAATTCCCAGAATTCCCCAGCCAGCCAGGGGGGATTCTGGGAGTTGAAGTCCACAGGACTTCAAGTTGCCAAGGTTGGATAAATCTGTCCTCGATATTAGCTTAGATCAGCCTTCTGTTCCTTGGACATCCTTCTGATAGGTGGACTTAATTCTCAGAAATAAATACGCTCTTCGCTAAGAATTCTGGGAAAGGAAGTCCACAAGCCTTAAAGTTGCCAAGGTGAAATACCTTGTTTAAGGCACCAGGCCAGAAACCGGGAGACGGTGAGTTCTAGTCCCACCTTGGCCATGAAAGCCAGCTGGGTGACCTAAGGTTAATCACCAGGACACAGTGAGTTCTATTCCCACCTTAACCATTAAAAACAACTGGGTGACTTTGGGACAATGACTAGAATAGTGTGAGTTCTAGTTCCATCTTAAGGATTCTTTCCTTCTTTCTCAGCGTAACTTCACAAGGTTGTTGTTCCAGGGAAAATAAGAGAAGGAAGATATCTTGGATGTTTTCCAACTTGAGTTATTTGTAAAAATAATAAAGGCTGGATGCAACTAATATTTAAAAAATGGGTATACTACATATTTAAAAATATTTACTGCATTTTTTAAAAAATGCTACAGTCACATGATGACTGCTTTATAACTGCACTGTTTTACAAGAGAAATCCATTTTTTTCAGCGCCAATGTCATTCCGAAGGCTCACTAAACGAATGGTCGTAAATCAAGGACTACTTCTATCCTGGCCAACATTGCTAATTTCCCAGGGTTAAGAATCGTGGTTAAAATGCAGAGGTGCAAACCAAGCTGGACATTTGCCCCGCCCATCCAAGAGAGATTTCCTTACTTGGTGGAGCGAGATGGATCACGTAACCATTTCCCACGTAGATCGCCCAGTGCTGGTAGGCCAAGCGGAAGATTTCTATCAAGTCCCCAAGCTCCAGACCAACCTGTGAATAAAAGAAGATGGTCAGGAGCAAAGAACCAGGACCACGCGCCAAGTTGCAGTTTAAAGAAGGTTTATTGCTGAGGAAACTAACCAAGGAAAGAATCAACCTGGAACGAAGGAGAAGAATTCCTAACCATGAGAACCATTAACCAAACTGCCTTCAGAAGTTCACTGGAGGCTTTTACGAAATAGGAGCCATTTATTCAGAAAGACTATAATTCTGAGAGAACAGGGGATTGAACTTACTAGATGACCTCCAAGTGTCAACTCATAAAATATTTCTGTGATCTTTTAGAGTTGCCAACAGAAAGAGAGGGGGAAGCAGTGGGCAGCTTGCATCCCATAAATGTTTTCATAGATAGTTTCTAGGTGACTGAGGTTTCTGCTGTGTAAAATTCTAGCTGGAGAGTGTGATTGATGACTCTGGGCTATGGAGGTGTCCCATTGGAGAATATGAATGATACACCCAGAGGGTGGGGGTAAAACCAGGGTCAAGGGTGACAATGATGTGCCTCAGAATCGGCTACACCCAGGCAATGCCGCCTCTTTTAACTCCCAATAAATCCTTTTGGAGTTTGGCTAGAGACTCATGATTTAAATGAGGTTACGTGCCGGAAATCCTGACAGCAAGGTCCTTTCTAACCCTGCTACTGTTACTTGTCAACTAATGTTCAATGCTAAATTGGTACTAGATAAGGGTCGACAGAAATCAAGAGAGGTTGGAGTTAGACTATTTATGTGAAAGTCATGACTCTCTAGGACAGGGGTGTCCAACCTTGGCAACTTTAAGACTTGTGGACTTCAACTCCCAGAATTCCTCAGCCAGCTTTGCTGGCTGAGG